TTTTTGTTACGTCTTGATTCCTTTAAAAATGAAGATGTTAGCGGCGTTTGAAATTTTGCCGTTTTTGAGGCGAAAATGGCGAACATGACGTCACTAAAACGTCAATTCCTCAAAAATTTTCCGACGGATTTCGCTCAAATTTTCAGGGAACGTGTCAAATTGATGTAAGAAAAGGTACTGAAAGTTTGGCGGCGCTGCGCGCCGCCGTTTTTGAGTTATGGCAAAAATTCGCGAGGGTGGGTAAAATTTACCCCCCCCCCCCAGCCCCGCGCGGGTTAAGAGATCGGCATATGACAGCGATGAGATGTGTCGAGAGGACGTATGCGCACAAAGCCACATCAGAAACTTGTGCTGCACTCGATCCATCCGCACCGTGTGGGTTTCAGCCGCACCCGCCCATATCAATTTTCATATCAATTTCGCATCTTGCACAGAATATTGCCAACAAGAAAAATGTTAAAGATGTTCGGAATGATCGGAGATGACCAGTGCGTGTTTTGTAGGGTGTCCCAGAATTGATGGCGGTCTTCGAAAAGTTTGTTTACCTTAAGTTGAATATTTTGCAGTGATGTATTTTTCAAAAAATCATGTGCAGGGGCGTTCCACGACAAATCGACAAATAAAAAATTAAATTTGCACCCTCATATTTTATTCTTCGTTGAAAACTGGTGGAAGGGGTTGTGATGGGCGGGGAAGCCAGCTGTGGCAAGGATTTTTTTCTTCGAACAACGGTTTCCGAGGTATAGCCTCGGGCAATTCCTGGATTTCGCGCTGCAGCCCTATGTTTGGCGGCCTATAACTCAGAAACTATTGGCTTTTTATGATAAAAACTTTATATGGTTCAACTCACAATCAACCAACAAGCATTTTGGCTATCTCGGATTTTCAATTTTTGAAAATTTTGATCACGTGACCTTTTGTCCTATTTTTCGAAGAGTGACATTGATATTTTCCTTACTGAAAGTTGCAATTTTGTCTGATGACGATTAAAGCCTTATCGATTGTCATTCATATGCGATAATGAAAAAGTGGTTATCGCCCTGCGTTGACCTCAGGTCAGGTCATTTTTATGACCTGTCCATTATTACGAGCGGGAGCGACAGCGAGATCTCGAGAATAAAGCAAGATAGCGACAAGCGGTAAACGGTAAAGGGTACACACGGATAAGGTCTATAATTTTTACTGAGGTCATTTTCAGGTCAGGTCGAAGATGACGTCACAGGAGCTAAAAGGAAGTCAAAATGCGGCACTATACATATATATGAAGTTTTTCTCAAATAACTTTCAAGGTATCCCAGCTAGGAACAAACTAATAGCACCATCGTGATCCTCTCGTCGATCCGCATCGAAACATATGTATGTTGACCTCGAAAGGTCGAAAGGTCAAAAATTGACCTTAGATCACGTGACCTAAGGTCAACTTTTGACCTTTCGACCTTTCGAGGTCAACAAACATATGTTTCGATGCGGATCGACGAGAGGATCACGATGGTGCTATTAGTTTGTTCCTAGCTGGGATACCTTGAAAGTTATTCGAGAAAAACTTCATATATATGTATAGTGCCGCTACTTTGACTTCCTTTTAGCTCCTGTGACGTCATCTTTGACCTGAGCTGAAAATGACCTCAGTAAAAATTATAGACCTTATCCGTGTGTACCCTTAACCGTTTACCGCTTGTCGCTATCTTGCTTAATTCTCGAGATCTCGCTGTCGCTCCCGCTCGTAATAATGGACAGGTCATAAAAATGACCTTACCTGAGGTCAACGCAGGGCGATAACCACTTTTTTATTATCGCATATGAATGACAATTGATAAGGCTTTAATCGTCATCAGACAAAATTGCAACTTTCAGTGGGGAAAATATCAAGGTCACTCTTCGAGAAATAGGACAAAAGGTCACGTGATCAAAATTTTCAAAAATTGAAAATCCGAGATAGCCAAAATGTTTGTTGGTTGATTGTGAGTTAAACCATATAAAGTTTTTATCGTAAAAAGCCAATAGTTTCTGAGTTATAGGCCGCCAAACATAGGGCTGCAGCGCGAACTCCAAGAATTGCCCGAGGCTATATCTCGGAAACTGTTGTTCGAAGAAAAAAATCCTTGCCACAGCTGGCTTCCCCGCCCATCACAACCCATTAGACCAATTCTAAGCAAAAAATAAAATATGAGGGTGCAGGGAAAGGAATCTTGGTGCAGGGCACTTGTCGATTTGTCGTGGAACGCCCCTGCAGTGGCATGCGTGCTTATTGTTGCACGTGCTGACCTACTTTCTAGCATATAAAAACTCGTCGATGTCTCTATTAAGCATTTCTAAAAATCAATGTCGCAAAGCCCTGAAGAGGTGTCCAGCATGCGCCGGGAGTGCTCTTTGGCAGTGCGCTCCCGGGCCGTCGGCATGGTTATCGGCGGCATGAAGCCAGGGCAAGTCGCTCAAGACCTGGAGATTCCAAAACGGTCGCTGGAACGCTGGCTTGCCCTTCACCGTGCTGGCAAAGGGCTTGAGAACCAGGAAGGACGTGGTCGCAAGTCCACCATCACACGCATCGCCAAAATCGTCATCGCGAAGTCCGCCTTCAAGCGGGGGCATTCAACCAGAAAACTGTCCAACAAGCTTTCACAGCGAGGTCATCCGGTATCAAAGTCCTCTGTACACCGTTATTTGAGGACCTGTCTTGGTCTCAAGCCTCTCTAGCCGCAGCTGCAGCCTAAGCTGTCCCCAGAACAGAGGCGCCGCCGTCTGGAGTTCGCCAAACAGCACTCCAGCTGGACCATTGACGACTGGAGACGGGTCATTTTCAGCGACGAGCCGCCCTACCAGCTACACCACCCACCCAACCGCCAAAACGACCGAGTTTGGGCCCATGGCTCTTTTGACGTCATCCCAACGGAAACTGTCAAGCATCCGACCAAGGTCATGGTGTGGGGCGCGATGAGCTTCCGGGGGCTGTCTGATCTGCACGTGGTCCCCCGCGGCCAGACTGTCACCGCCACCTACTACCAGGACAACATCCTCGAGACGGCCCTGAAGTCTGCGTTGAGCAGAACCCGTGAGAACGGCCCTCCGACAAAGGTCAAACTCCACCCTGACATGTCCAAGGTCATCTTCCAGCAAGACGGCGCCCCGGCTCACACCGCCGGCACGAGCCAGCAGTGGTGCGAGGAGCACCTCCCGGACTTCTGGCGGAAGGAGGTGTGGCCACCCAACAGCCCGGACCTGTCTCGCCGTCTCCTATCCTGTCTCCTATCGAAAACCTCTGGGCCATCGTCCAGAACAAGATGGACGAGATACCAGCTGCGACCTCCAGGGACGGCCTGGTAGACAGCCTCAAGCTCGCCTGGAGGAAGATCCCGCGCGAGACGCTGGACAACCTGATCAGTGGCATGCCAGAACGCATGCAGGCGTGTGTGAAGGAGAGGGGCGGATACATTGGTAAATAAACCGTGTCACCACGCCGACTGGTTTTTGCCACAGGGGCGATGATTTAGACCGCCATCAATTTTGGGACACCCTGTAAACGAGCTGTAGAAACAGCATCACATTTATTTGTACATTGCCCAAAAGTTGAGGCTTTTTGGGATGAAGTATGGAGAGCTTTAAAAGAGGAAACCGGTCATATAACAATATGGAGCTATCTCCTCGTAAGATATTGTTTGGTGTTGATTCAGACAAACATTATGGTTTAACCTTCGCCCCAATGCAGTGGGGGGGGGGGGGCATATGTTACCACCCTGTCGCGTTTTTTGCGTGTGAATAAAAAACCGCGGCGCGTAGCGCCGCGCCGCTTGGGATAGCTTTTGGTATATCAATTTTGGACAATGTCTGAAATTCTTGACCCCAGGTCATGTCAGGTCAGGTCACCAGGTCAAGCTAACTGACCAAGCCTAAAAAAGTTTGCAATCATGTCCAGCCTGCAGTGTTTGTCAGAAAGGTTTCAAACTTGGTGGATAGCATGCTGTTATAGACGCCTACAATTTGTATATCTCGGATTTTTTATATCCGTGACCTAAGGTCAGTTCAGTGGCGTGACCTTTCCATTACAAGTCAATGGAGAAAAATGAAAATGCCTCTAGATCCGTGTGTACGCATAGGAACAGTCCAAATATTTCAGAATCACAATGATTTAGGCCACTCGTGATTTTTGTCATTTTTGCTGATAGCCTCTAGAAAGGTCATCCGAGGTCATTTGAGGCTACAAACAGTTTTTTGCCAATAACTCGCGATTGGAAAGAGATAGAACGCTGGGGATGGTCTCATTGTGTTTTTCTTGTTGAGACGCATCGACTGATATGCAATATGACCTTTTCCTGTCAGGACCTTGACCTGAGGTCAAATTTTCAAGTTGACCTTTCAAGGTCAAATTATAGTTCATTCGACGCGTCTCGGAGGGGAACACGATTCTGGCAATAGAAATGTCGTGGCTTTTTGTAGTCGAGAGTTATTGTCGAAAAAAAAACTTTTTGTAAAAACAGCTATTTTTGGAGTTTTTGCCCTCTGGAGGCAAAAACCGTTGACCTGAGGTCAATATTGAGAATAACCTTTCAAAAGAAGAGCTCATAAGCTATCGATTGCACTTCCATGCGTTTTTCTAGCTACCATAGTTCCTGAGATAGCGGCATATTTTCTGAAAAATATAATGACAATTGGCAAATTTTGACCTTTGATGACCTCTGGTCACCTCAATATTGCTCTAAGGTGAAAAATTACTGAAATACTTTCAACCGTACGCATTGAGAGCTATCGACTGCTTTTTACCGCGTCTTTCTAGCCCTTTTAGTTTTTGAGTTAGAGGTGGGTGGTAACATATGCCCCTTTCCCCCACTAGGGCGAAGTTGGCTGAGACCGCCACTGGGGCGAGGGTTGAACCTATTGCTACTACTGGTCAAATCTTTTATATGGAAACAAAGTAAAAAAGGAAATGATGTAACGGTGCGGTTGTTTTTGATTCATTTACAGACGTTTTTTAATGTGCAGGTAGGTGTACTCACCACTGTAGAATCTCACTCACCACGGTAGGTGTACTCACCACTGTAGAAATCACGTAGGTCTGGCTTATCGCGACGGATTTCTGCAGCCTCCCACACATGCATCAGCAGAAGAGGGAACTTGTCAGCTATGTAGTTGACCAGTCCACTCTTGGTGTTGTGCACAATGCGTCGTCCTTCTTCAGGTACCGCATCGAAGTGGTGCAGCTGCGTGAAGAGCATACTCATATGTTACGGCAATGTGTCAACTTAGGCAGCGTGCAAACTGCCCGGGTAGTATGCAAACTATTCAACACATTGGGCAGCATGCAATTATGCACACTGGCCAAAAACCTGGACAGTTTGCATGCTGCCCAGTTTGTCCGTTCAAGCTTCAAGCCTCACACTTATAGGACGCAGGTCGAACGAAATCCCCCCTCGGTTTTTCGCAAATAACTAAAATAAAAAATAAAATAGTAACAAATAAAAATATAATAAATAAAGGTAGGTGTAAAATTGATCAATGCGAGGGTACTGAAAGTTTCGTCGCGATCGGCCGCTTTTTACGCGAGTTATTCGCGAAAAAACAAAAAAAAAACTACACATGCGAGGGTTAACCCGCGCCCCACTGGGGTCTGCGTATAACACGCCCTACTGGGGGGGGGGCTATTCATAGCCCCCCTCCTAACTCCGAAACTACTGAACCGATCGTCAAAATTCAAACGGCGTCTGATAGCCCCGGAAAAACTGTCGAGCGAAACCTAATTTCATTGACCTCGAGGTCACCGATGACGTCACAGGTCAGGTCAAAGTAAAAATTATTAGCATTTTGAATTCTTCACGTTTTGGGCTCTGGCCGCCGTCTTACATGTCAGATCAGGCTCATTTTTGGTTCACACACTCGTGAACAGATACTCTAGATACTTTGAGGGTACCAAACTTGTACTTTGATTTTCAGGTCAGGGTCAGGTCATCACAGGTCACGAAAATATTATATCATCCGTCGGTCACGTGACACATGTTTTATGGTCCATTTAGGACAAACATTTCGAATTTGATGTCGTCTGTGTCATTCGAGGTCATTTTGAGTCAAATTTAGCTCAGGTCGGGTCACTTTCAGGTCAAAAAAGGTCAAATTTTGAAGTTAAAATTTTTCAACAAAAAAGTTGTCTATTGGATGCAGTTTGAACTCAGGAACACGATGGTGCTATTTATATTGGCGTACGATGTCAAATTCGTGCTGAAAAATTGATTTGAAAAATTAATAATTGTGAATTCTTTGCAATAATGCGTATAACTTGGCCATTTTTGAAGCTATTTAGCTAAAACTTGCTAGAGTTAGTCATAATAATGCGTTCTATCACATATATTCCGTTTTTTTCGACAAGTCGAAACGTTTTTGAAAAAATGTAAAAATATAAATTTTGAATTTTATTTTATAAAATTTTCGAAATTTTCAAAATTTCGAAAATCCGAGATAGCAGTTTGATAGCGCAGTCTATTCTGAGTCCTCTCATGCAAAGAAATTGGATCTAGCTTAAAAACTGAGCTCTTGGGAGCGATTGCCGTGGTTCAATGTTTTGTGTCGAAATCGGCCGAACATGACGTCACTCTGACGTCATTTTCGGCCGAATTATGGTAGGTACGAAGTTCAAATTTTGACACAAGGTGTCAAATTGATGCAGCCGAAGGTACTGAAAGTTTGGCGCCGATACGTCAAGCGGTTTGGAAGTTATTGCAGAAAAACGAGAGGGGGGCTATAAATAGCCCCCCCCCCCAGTGGGGCGCGGGTTAAAACTAAATTGATATATTTCGATATTGCACCGTCATCAGAATAATAATTTTTATTCTGATGACGGTGCAATATCGACATATATCAATTTAGTTTTAATTATATCAAATTGCAACATACAACATGAGCATAAGGTTATTCACTCTATTTACATTAAACCCGCGCCGGGCCGGTGCTCTGAGATTCCGCGCCGGGCCGGGGGGGGGGGGGGTGTCTGAACACCCCCCCCCCCCCTTCTAACTCGGCTCCTGGGCCACGTAGCGACACGCGGCAAGCGGCAATCGAAAGAACGTCCAAAATAAGGACGAAAACACTTCAGTCATTTTTTGGGTCAGGTCAAAGGTCAGGTCACCAGAGGTCACCAAAGGTAAAATGTTGACTATTTCAACATTTTGGAAACTGCCAACGGCTATCTCGGGAACCCATAGAGCTACAGCGCCGCGGAAAAGCGCATTCGATAGCCCTTTCTCAGGCCTTTCTGATTAATGCCCTCAGGTTTGAGCTCAGGTCAACGGTTTAGCCTCCAGAGGGCAAAAACTCCAAAAATAGCCGTTTTAACGAAAAGCGTTTTTTCAGCGATACCTTTTGACTCAAAAGAGCCATGACATTACGTTTGGCAGCATCGTGTTCCTCTCGTCGAGACGCGTCGAATGAACTATAATTTGACCTTGAAAGGTCAACTTGAAAATTTGACCTCAGGTCAAGGTCATGACCTGACTGAAAAAAGTCATGTTGCATATCAGTCGATCCGCAACGTCGAGCCGAACACATCTCAGGCGTTTTCAGCGCTCTAGCACGCCTCTATTAGAAGTTATTAGCGAAAAACTGTTACTTGTTAGATTCTGTTCTTGACCTGAGATGACCTCGGGGACATAACGAGGGTTCACAGTTGTCATTTTCCGGTTCAGTGTGTCAATTTTACCTACATCTCGATGTTTGAGAGTGTCTAGAATGGCGTTCGTGCAAAACAGACGCTTTTCAATTTTTTCCCATTGACAATTATAATGGAGAGGCCGCAAAATTGACCTGACCTTAGGTCACCGTTATCAAAATTCCGAGATAACCATTTTATAGATACTGTTGTTCGTATCAATCGCTGAAATTTTCAAGGCAATCGATCAATCGGTGTAGCTATGACGAACATTCTTATTTTTTTCTGAGGTGAGGTCACTTGGCGTGACCTGGTGACCTGACCTAAGGCGACCTGGGTCTGACATTTTCACAACATGTGCGTAAAAGATGCAACAACAGGTGTGCCAAAAACGCCGCCGTTTTTGAGATACCTGCAAAAACCGCAGGGGGGGGGGGTTCAAACACCCCCGGCCCGGCGCGGGTTCATCATTCTCAGATTTCAGAAATACCACTTCTTACCTCCAAGAGGTTAAAAACGGCAATGTATTGGGCGAATCGGCTCACCTTAAATTAAAATCTAGTCTTATTTGTCGCAATGTCAAACACATCTGGTAAACACCTTGGCGATCTGGTAAAAACTATTGAAATTGCTCTCTTGCTCTCTAGCGCTGTCAGTTTATATTTTTGAAACGAATGTCTCCGGATTATGTGGTTTTAGCATATAACGAACAAAACTGCTATCCCAACTCCATTCCTCATGTTAGACATGAACATGTCCCTTTAATCTTTGGTGACCTATAGTGACCGAACCGGTGACCCGATCAAAAGATTACCGCAAAGTTATTCTGAAAGTTCTTGTAGCGAGCTATCTATTGCTTTTTACAGCGTCTTCCTAGCTTGCCCACTTTCCGAGATAATCTGGTGTGGCTAGACAGACCCCCCCCCCCCCGACCCACCAGGGCGAAGTTGACTGAGAGGCCCATCCGGAGGCGGGATAACCCTTGACCTGAAAACTGACATCGATCTTGAGACTTAACCCGCGCCCTGGTGGGGGGGGGGGGCTATTTTGTTGCCCCCTCCCTCCAGACTTTTCGATATTTCTCCAGAACCGCTGCGCCGATCGCCACCAAACTTTTAGTACCCTCCCGGGCATCAATTTTACACTTTGTGACCAAAAATCTTTCCAAAGGCTATGATAGGTTGTCCACAAATGACGTCAGAGTGATGTCATGTTCTGCCGTTTTCGGCCCAAAAAAATGGTTTCTGGGGAAAAGCTGTCAGGCCTATAGCTTTGAAGATACAGACAAACGTTCAAGACATAAAAGGTGTAGAATTATTAGGGCTACCAAACTGCTATATCGACTTATTAATTTTCTGAATTTTGACAGCCAAAAAAATATTTTTTGAATATAATCGCCGACAAATCCAACAAGTTTTTCGATTTTTGGAAAACGGAATATATGCTATAGTTCCTACCAATTTCTATTCAGATACCAAATTTAGATCGATAACTCTTTTTTGGCCAAGCTATAGCGAAAAAAAAAACTATTCAAAATTGATGACGTCAAAATTTCAAACTCAATTTTTAGCAATTCTAGACCACGTAGCGCAAAACAAACACCACCATTAGACTTGCCGTGACGAGTTACATCGATTCGATACCCATTTTATGCAAAAATATCAATAGTTATTTGAAAATATATAAGCATGACCTTTCCACGATATTGAATAAAAAAGTGCCGAAAAATGTACTTTATTGATAGAAAATATGTGATATTTCGGCCACTGGCCTTTGTCTCGAACATATATAATCAAGATAAACAATAGTTTCGTTTCGCCGCATCGCGTTCCAACTGCCTCTACAAAATTACGTACATTAGTTCGTGACAAAATCGATATCGTACCACTGTAACAAAGTATTATAATTCCGTTGAAAGGTGAAAACTCTATCTGTGAGTACACAGGTTTAGATACACCTACCGGCCAATAACAATACCTATAATCAGGTTTAGATACCTTCATAAAGCTAGAAAATCATGACAAAGGCTTTAGACCGAAAGAGAGTAAGGGCAGTTTAACCCTCGCCGGCCGAGGGGGGGGGGGGGCGGGTGCCGCCCCCCCATAGGTTTTTTTTTCGCGATAGCTCCGAACGCGCCGGAGATAGAGAGCTGAAACTTGGCGTACCTGACCCTTGATTCAAGCCGGATCTTTTGACACCAACCGCATTTTCGGGTCAGGTCAGGTCACTGGCCTATGACGTCATAAGTGAACCTCTGCACGGTCTTCAGATGTCGCAACTTCGCAACGCCCTCACTGCCAGAGGAGCTGTCACAGGGAAATGAAACTTGCAGGACCTAGTATCCATTAGGAGTCTCACAACTTGTATATCTCGGATTTTTTTCTAAAGGTCATATGAGGTCAGGTCATTTTTGAGACCTCACCATTATAAGTCAATGGGGAAAAACGAAAACTGCTATTCTGGCGCCGGGAACGATCTCCAACTATCTCAACCACACAGAATCGTGATTTCATGCACTCTTTGCAAGGTTCCATGCGTCACTTTTGCATTGGTGACCTTGCGTGA